ACAGCTGAGCCACACCCCTGCTGAAGAAGGTTAATTCTAAATAAAGATGCTTTTTAAAGAAGTCGATGAGACATTTCAACTCCATAAAGTTTTTCTTTAGTCTCCCCATAAGGTTAATTTAATAGATTCTTCGTACACATTTGGGGAGGGGATGTGATCTCACCTTACTGAGGCCAGAGGTCACCCTCCATCAGAGAGAACTGTCCACCTCCCGCACCCAAATGCACTTGTTCCTGGAGCCAAAAATGACCGAGGCCAAGGCCTGAATCTGGAAAATGCCGTCAATCCCAAGGCCCCAAGACACATTCAGTCCTTTATCGGCTGCTGCCAACACGCTGTTGGCCACCGGGTAGGAAGGCTGGGGGGTGACAGCCCCAGGGAGGACGGGAGGGAGAGAGGGGCCACAGTCCCGCGGGTCAGCTCATGCTCCCGGTGAGTGCCAAGCCCAGCACAGAAAGGAGCCCAATAACTGCCGTTCCCCAACCCCCTCCCCCCGGGCGAAGTGCACGGAGCCGCAGACTCGAATGCGCCATCCACACTGACATCTGCCTCCTAGGAGCTGCGTCCCGCCACCCAACTCCGTGACACATGGACACAGCCTCCCAGCGCTGGTCAGGCTTCAGAACACACCCACATCCCCACACTGCCATTCACATGAAAAACGCCAGCCCACAAGATGTAGCTTCCACCAGCAGGGTAAGGGTCTGGGAGCGAAAGACAGTCACGCAATTAATTCTTCATGTTCAGATGTTAATAACTGTGTAAATGAAGACCAAAGGCACCGCGTGGTAAGCCAGCCCAGGCAGCTCTGGGTGCTGGGTGCTAGCTGGGCAGCAGGTGCCCATGCTGACGGAGGGACACGCTTCTGGGTCGGGCCAGCCCAGCCCACGCCAGGCCCCGAGCACGCCTGTGCGCCCACAGGTATCCTCCTCCGGGCTACGATCAGTAAGACTGGGGCTCCTCAGACTCCCCCACAGCCTCCAGGGCTTTTGAGGAGGAGGGGACAGGGCAGCCAAGAGATGCATTTTTGAAAGAACTAATTGATTGTGTCAGAACAGCTCTATCCACACGCGAAAATGCATCAACACTGGCAGTAGTAAGATGTCTGCCTTTGAAGAAGGAACGCTACTTCTACACGTGAGTGTGTACAATGGCGATATCTCATCAAACACAGGGAACGTTCGCCTTCTTCCATCAGTCCTGTGACTTCTGCCTAAATCCATGCCTGTCCCCCAGTGTGGACGTCTCCAGCTACACTGGCCTTCAAATGCCAATGAAAAAGTTGTTTGTCTCCCTCGCATGCAACAGAGAAGCCTCATTCACTCAGAAACCTAGTTACACTATAAGCAAAATGCCATTTTTAATTATTTCATTAACACACATGCCCTTTTCTCCAGGGAAAATGGAACAAAAACCAAAACAGAGTCCTGTCTTGAACATTTAAAACAAGCACCTTATATCAGGAAAGCACACGCATTTGGACAAGCTCCTTCCCGCTGGACGTAATCAGCTTATATTTCGGTTTCCTATTTCCATGGCATTAAGGTGTAATGCCGCTGAAACTCTAAACATAACCTCCAGTCGGACTCACAGCCACTCCCCCTCCCAATTTTAAAAAGACTCCTTCTGGTCAATCATGAGTAAGAGCAATACATATCCTGAAAGTGGATAAATAAAAAATCCACAACAACCCAATAAACCGAGTACTGGTTTTTCAAGAATCACCCGTGACTCAGCCGTGTGTAAATCTGCAGGTCACACTATCACTTTTCTCTTTTCGGAAAGGCCGGAACCGTCGGTTAGAGCCCACACCTCCTTGCAAGGTGCCCAAGCTTCAGACAGGCCTCCTTCCCTTGTTCATCTCAGCATCAAATGCTTAACCTCCAAGGCTCACATAGCCCCACGTAGGAACCAGTGAGGTCAACACAGGTGAAAATAAAGGTGAAGTTTTATTTGTGGAAGTGGAGACAGGGTGCTTGCAAGCACTGACCTCTTTCCACCACCCCTCTCCTTCTACTCCCTGCAGGCTGGTGCCTGGGACAGCTTTTAAAGTTAGAAGCCCTGGGCCTTCAGACCGACTCATCTCTAAGATAGCCGGGCGACTTTAAAGATTGTTTACGAATAAATGGGATTAACTCCAGTCCTATAAAGCGTTCCCAGGTCACCAGTGACACATTCCAGAGCTAAAGTGCTCCAGCCAGTGCGTTAACCCCGCAGCAAGGTCTCTGGGAAGATGACTCAGAAACCAAAAAACAAGCAAAAGCCCGGTCTCCCGATGGCTGGATCCGGTCCCCACCAAGTCTGCAGCGAGCCGTTTGGTTTCACTTCGGGGAGGCTTTCCCAGGCCTGCTGTGGGCTCTCCCCGCGTCCCGGGGCTGCTGTTTGTTTGGCATGTTAATGGGCCCTGGGTGTTTCAGTCCATGCAAATCAGCAAGTTTAAGAAAACAAAGCCCTAGGAAGGAGCCCAGAGAAAACAGGAGACGCGTTCCGTCCGTGCCTTGGCCCATCCAGAGTCTAATTCCCTTTCCCAAGTACTGGAGCTCAGCTTCTCCCAGGGCCCACTCAAGATGGCACGGCCGGCTCTGTGGCGAAACCAAAGATGTCCTCCCTGTAACCCAACCCTCGGCCCGGCCTCCCCGCCCCCCAGCCCGGCTCAACTCCCCAATTTTACCAAGAGGGGGGAACTCTGGGCTCGCGCGCCGCCGCCGCCGCGCGCGGCACGTTCAGTTCTGGCCGGTCCGTGTCAATATAAATAACACGGGGATCTGGACGCCGCACAGAAGGCGAGGGAACCGAGGAGACCCAACGAGAAAAGGAGCTTTTACGCGGCCCGAGAACGCAGCCCGGGGACCGCGCGCGCGCCTCCCTCCTGGAGCAGCGCGTACACCCCGCAGCCAGCGCGCCCCGGGCGGGTCACGGGCGGCTGGGGAACCTC